CAGGTGAATGTGTGTGTGTATGTGTGCGTGCATTCACTACTCACAGATAACAGATAATCAGAGTTGGAAGGGACCCTTGATCAGTTTCCATCCATTATTCCTTGTCTGGCCTTTGGGTGCTTTAGAAAATGTTTTTAAGTGTTCATTTTTCCTTTCTTTTTCTTTCTTTCTCCTTTCTTTTTTCTTTTCCTTTTCCTTTTCTCTTTTTTTGCTTTTCTATTCGTGTATGTGTTGTTGATTTGTTTTTAATTGTAAAATTAATAAAATTTGTTTAAAAAAAGAAAAGAAAATAGTTTGACCCTTTCCTCTCTGTGGCAGCCCCTCAAATATTGGAGCACTGCTATCCAGTCTCCCCTGGTCCTTCTCTTCACTAGACCAGCCAGGCCCAGTTCCTGTAACTGTTCTTCATACGTTTTAGTCTCCAGTCCCCTAATCATCCTGGTTGCTCTTCTCTGTACTTGTTCTAGAGTCTCAACATTTTTTTTATAGTGTGGTGACCAAAACTGGATGCAGGTGTGATCTTACTAAGGCTTTATAGAATGGTATTAGTACCTCCCTTGATCTTGATTGTATCCATCTGTTAATACAATTTAGGATTGCATTAGCTTTTTTGGCTGCTGCTGCACACTGCTGGCCCATATTTAACTGGTTGTCCACTAAGACTCCAAAATCCCTGTCACTGCTATTGAGTTCACATTAGTGGGACCATGAGGGCTTGCATGAGGGGTGCCACAAGTATGTGCAATGCTTGCACCAATGGTGCCACAAACGCCTGTGACGCTCATGCAAGTGGGGCCATGAGCCCCCTCAATGCTTGGGTGAGTGGGGCTGTGCATACAGTTACATGCACACGCAACAGCTGACTACTCACGCAGCCTGGTTGTGAATAGACCGTAACCTGGTAGTGAGCTGCAGCCCACAGATTGGGGACCCCTGACTTAGAGGATTCTGGAGGCCAGATAGTACTTAAAGCCAATTCTGGTCTACAGATTTGCATTTCTGCTATAAACCCAAACCTACAGACCAGTATTCTCAACTCTGGATCCTGGGATTCAGAGTTCATAGTGGTTCAAGGATTTCCTGGTGGGAGTACTATGATAAAAACACTTATTATTTTTTTTAAAAAAGTCCAAAATTTCACAAGATCTGCCAAACTCAAGAAACTTTCTGACTTCATTTAAAAGCTCACAACTTTCTAAGCTAGAATAATGAAGTGACATGCTATTTAAACTATAAGAGCTGTGGTGGCCCAGTGGTTAGAATGCAGTATTGCAAGCTAACTGTGTTGGTTGTCAGCAGTTCATTTCTCACCACTCAAGGTTGACTCAGCTTTCCATCCTTCCGAGGTTGGTAAAATAAAGACCCAGATTGTTGGGGGCAATAAGCTGACTTGGTAAACCCACTAATGTCCCATCAGATGCCTTCAGAGGCAGTCCCACTGCCATCAAGGCTAAAAGCTCTTGGTGGATCTGAAATAAATATCAGATTTTGGGGGAAAGGTATTCATTGAAATCTCATGTGTTAGTTACTAAACAAAAACTTGAATTTTCTCCGAAGTTAGCTTTGCCACATATATTTGGTGGCCAGAAAAATAAATTGCAAATTAAAGAACTCATTGGATTGTTACTTCTAGAGGCCAAATTGATCATTGCCAAACAACAGAAACGTCTAGCTATTATGGGATAGATGGGATAAGATTTGGTCTATAGTCCCGGTGCTGCAATGGTTAGACTGTAGTATTGCAAGCAAACTTTGCCCACAGCCTGGAGTTCGATGCTGATGGGGCTCAAGGTTGACTCAACTTTCCACCTTTCCAAGGTCAATAAAATGAGGAGTCAGGTTGTTGAGGGCAATATGCTGACATTGTATAACTCCCAGAGCGTGCTATGGGGCAATCTATAAACCTAAATAGTATTGCCATTGCTATAGCTTTGCTTGAAAAAGATAAAATCCATTCTATGACAAACCAAGCCAAAATAAATTGTGGCATTTTATAATCTGTATAAGAGATAAGCATGCTCAAAATAGCATGTATCCAAAATTATGGGCACATTAAAAATTACCAATAGTGTGCTAATGTTTATAAATCCCTAACAATAAGGTTCTTCTAACCTCAAATATGGAAGCTGGACTCATATGCTACAGTTTGTCTCACCCTGGCCTGTTTATTAAACCAGAATTAACTGAGGTCAAACATTTCAACTAAAACCATGGTCTATAAACTGCAAAGTGCATGTTTTTGCTTAGCACAATGCACAAATTAGATCCGGGCTCTCCACCTTTGGCAACTTTTAAGATTGGTGGACTTCCAACTCCCAGAATTCCTCAGCCAGCCATGGAATTCTGGGAGTTGAAGTCCACCAGTCTTAAAAGTTGCCAAGGCTATAGGGTGCTGAATTAGGCCATTGTGTCAGGTGACCACATTTTAATTATTTGGAATTATTTAATTCCAAACAATTATTTAATTACATATAGAAGTTAACACTTTAAATCATTTATTGTTAGCACTTAAGTTAACACTTTATTGTGGCCAAGTATTTAGGTTTATTTTCTTTACCCAAGTACTTTACCTAGAACAGAAACCTAGAACACACTGCTTGCTGGTGGTGCCAAAATGCCAGCAACTTTTTCTGGGTAATTTTATTTCTCTATTTTCTTAGCAGCCTTGAGTTGCCTTTCCTTCTCCCTGAAACATACACAGCCTACATCCGTGATGGTGAACCTATGGCACGGGTGCCACAGGGGGCACCATGAACTATTTGTACAGGCACGCGAGCCCCAGGCAAACTTACCTCACTGCGCATGTGCGGGCCTCCCAGCTGATATTCTGGCCTTTTTCAGCCTCCTAGAGGCTCGAGGGAAGCCTCTGCAGCCTTTGGAGGCCGAAAAACAGGCCCGTTTCATCACTTCCTGTATTTCTGGAAATACCGGAAGTGATGAAACGGGCCCATTTTTTGGCTCCAAAGGCTGCAGAAGATTCCCTCGAGCCTCTGGGAGGCCGAAAAAGGCCCGAAAATCAGCTGGGAGGCCTGCACATGTGCAGTGCAGGTTAAGGGGGTGGGGGGATTGTGCACGCATGTGTAGGTGGCGTGGGGGGGCCCCATGTGCATTGCCTTCTGGATGCTGGCACGCAAGCGCGCTCGCAATTTTCGGAACAGGAGCCCCAAAAGATTAGCCACCACTGGCCTACATTAAATCATAGTTCAGTGTGTTTTGACAGCAGCACTGTACACAAATAAGCCTATTTTGCAAGACAGAGACTCTTCTAGCTGGGAAAATGGAAACTAAAATCCCATTTGCCTGGATGAGAACCCAATGAGAAACCACAATATAGAGGCCACATAGATTTGCTTATGCTGCATCAGTGTATCTCAACCTTGGCAGCTTTAAGCTGTGTGGACTTCAACTCGAGTTGGAAGTCCACGCAGCTTAATGTTCCCAGGTTGAAAAACACAGCTGTGAAACACCCTGTACACTGTTATCTAATACAGATAGTCCTCGACTTACAACAGTTCATTTGGTGACCGTTCAAAGTTACAGCACTGAAAAAAAGTGACATGATCGTTTTTCACACAGCATCCTTATGATCATGTGATCAAAATTCAGAAGCTTGACAACTGACTCATATTTATGATGATTCATTGCAGTGTCCTGGGGTCCCTTTTGCAACCTTCTGACAAGCTAAATCAATGGGGAAGCCAGGGTCATTTAACCGCCGTGTGACTGATTGAACAATTGCACTGATTCACTTAACGCAGAGATCCCTAAACTTGGCAACTTTTAAGACTTGTAGCTGGCGTAGCTGGCTGGAGAATTCGTAGCTGGCTAGAGAATTCTGGGAGTTGAAGTCCACAAGTCTTAAAAGTTGCCAAGTCTGGAGACCTCTGACTTAAACTATGGCAAGAAAAGTCATAAAACGGGGCAAAGCTCACTTTAACAAATATCTCATTCAGCGACAGAAATCTTGAGCTCAATTGTGCTCATAAGTCGAGGACTATCTGCATAGTGTTTCTCAACCTTGGAATTTTAAAGTGTTTTTTTTAAAAATGTTTTTGGACTTGATGTTATTGTAGATTCCTTCACACAGGTTGAAAAGAATCCGTATCCATATGCCCCTCCAGTTCAAAGAGAGTAGGGTTTGCCCACGGGAGACCAAGACGAAGACAGCTCACACGCTCAAAAGTCATCCAAAAACTGCTTTTTAATAAGAGCTCCTTTAAATTAAGTCAAGTATCACAACCAGCAGTCTTAAGGAACCTGGCTTGGCTTTCTATACCGACTCTCACCCCTTAGTAGCAGACGAACAACGAAGACTATCTCCCTCCCCTTCCCTTCCCTGCCTCTCTTCCCAAACAGCTGAAGGTTTGTTTTTAAAGGCCTTTTCCCCCAGACCAGCTCTAGGTGCTACTACAACAACTATGGGGTTCCATATTTTTTTTTCACGGTTATCACCCACGACACAATGGGGGCCTATGTCAAAACACCAAAATGAATCGGATACACTTCTGGTGATGGTCCAAATGGAATGACCAAGCTGCCTTGGCCGTTTCCCCTCCCGCCCGACCACCCGCTCCCCAAGTCTACTTCTCAAGTCCATCACAAAAAAGCAGCGGTGCTTTTTTTTTTAGCCTGTGGTGCTGGGACAGCAAGTTGCCTTGGTCTTCTTCAAGCTGTCGAGCAGCCGCTTCTTAAAATATCTCTCTCTGTATCTGAGTCCGGTCAGGTGTCTCAAAGTGGGAGGCATTTGTTCCGGAGTGACGTCCACATAAACCGGGATGACCTTTGCCCCCTTCTGGTGTACGGTATGGACCAGGTTCCAGTCCAAAATGCGCTGGCACCAAGGGTCAGTCACCGAATGGGGGGTCAAGAGGACGATGGCAAGTCGGCTGCTTTGGATGATCTCGTTCACTGAGGCCAAGACCGACTTCCCGGCCACGTGGTCCTGATGTTCGACGTAGCCATGGAAACCACAGGCAACCAGCATCTCGTGGATAGCGGTGGCAATGGCATCATCCTCCAGGCAGTACCAGAGAGAGAAATCATATTGGAACAAAGGAGATGTCATGGCATAAAAATTATGGGGGAAGCTGCCCCTGGGGCAAGTGGTGATTTTTTTTGTCACCTCCACCCCCACCCTACCCCTCCCACAAAGAACCACTTGTCCCAGCCTATCTGTGTATGTGTGTGAACTCTGTGGAAACTTCCCCTCAGCTTTCCCCAAAGGGAGCTGTTTTTGTTCTGAATGTCTGCGTGAAGAAAACAAAACGAGGGCCAAATGGAGCTGTGGAGAACTAAGAGCAACAGGGAATCTAGGGCCAAAACAATAAAAACAACGCTAACTGCACAACTGGGCATCTCAGCATGAGCACAGCGAAGAGATCCAGGCCCTCAAGAGGCTTGGAGCAGGCGGCTGGCTTGGGCGCACAATTCACGGAATGTAAAACACAAGACGGTGTTGAAGATGTGTAGCGTAGGCATGCTTGAAATCACATCACAATGTTGCGAGTCCGTAGTTCAAAGCATGGCATGGGATCCTGCGGGGGGGGGGAGAAGGCGGGTCACACTCGGACTGTGGTCACTTTCCCCCCCAAAAAAGTATCTCACAACGCCCTCTGCTTCATCTCTAAAATGCCCTGCTCCAGGGTTGCTCCGGCCAGTTTCAGCTCCTCACACTTCTCCTTGAGCAAACTGCAGGCCTTCTGGAGGCGGTGATTCATCTCCACGTAGGACTGGGTCAGCCGGTACAGGCGTTCCCTCTTGGCCTCTGGATCTTCATTCTTTGTTGGGGTAGGCAAATCTGAAGGCAGGCAAAATGGGAAGCGGGTGGGTGGGGTGGAGAGAAAAGAGAAACAATGATAGAGAATATCTGGAGCTCAGGGTTGACATGAGGGCCCCTTGGTGCTCTCTGAGCTTGGTCTGTTTTCTTGCAGACGTTTCATTACCAAACTAGGCAACATCGTCAGTGCTAACAGGCAGTGGGGTTTGCTCTCGTTTTATATTGTAGTGACTTGCCCTGTCAGTTTTTGGTGACAATGGTTCTGTAGGTTCTTTGGATGAGCTGTTTACTAGTAGCTTTTTGGCAGTTCCTTGATTGGGGTACTGTTTACTTCTTGATTGTGGTGGTATTCATTTTTTTTTCACTACCGGTTCTGTGGGCGTGGCCTGGTGGGCGTGGCAGGGGAAGGATACTGTAAAATCCCCATTTCCACCCCACTCCAGGGGAAGGATACTGTAAAATCTCTATTCCCTCCCCACCCCAATAACCTGCTTTCCAGCTCCGTTCTCCTGTCAGGCATGATATTCCCCTCTGAAAAAAAAATCGAGGCCGGCCAAAAGAGACCCCCCCCACCGCGCGCCAAGAAATCGCTGCCCAGCTCCCTTTCGCACCGCCCGCCTGCCCGCTCGCACCGCCCGCCCGCCCCTCGCACCGCCCGCCCGGCCTCCACTCGCACCACGTTGCCTCGGGAAGGGAAAGGCAAAATCAGGAGCCGCTGCTGCCGTTGCAAAGCGCCGCCGCGGCTCTTCCCTTTTGCCTTTCCCTTCCTGAGGCAACGCGGGACTGGAGCCACGCAGAGCCGCGCCGGCGGTAGCAACTCCTGACTCAGGGCCTCCGAGGGGAGGGGAAGGAGAAGAAGGGGGGGAAAGGGGGGGGCGATTCCCCAAAAAATCAGAATTCCGATTTTAATCGGAAGAATATAATGTCTGTCCTGTGCAGGGCAACCAAAGAAGACCCAGACGATCAGCTGGGACTCGGGAGGCAGAGAATAGATGGGGGCGGAGCCAGTCAGAGGTGGGATTGGCCAGTTCTCCGAACTACTCAAAATTTCCACTACCAGTTCTCTAGAACCTGCCAGAATTGGCTGAATACCACCTCTGAAGTCTGATGTTAATCTTAGAATTAATCTCTGCTCTCTACTAGCACTGATGATGTTACCTAGTTTGTAATGAAACATTTACAACAAAACAACCAAGCTCAGGGAGCACCAAGGACTCCTTAGACAGAAATAAAGTGTGCTACCTTTATGGAGCACCTACACAGCTTAGCAATAAAGCATCGCCTGGCACCCAGATCCTCCTAGTTTCAATATGACACATCTAGGTTCAGCTACAAAAAACCCAGTCAGAAGTTCCGGAGAATAGTTGGGTTCAGATTCATGTTACAATGCAGTCAGTTTCATGTTATAGTGTAGTCATAACTAATATAAAATTGAAACCCAAAGTCTTTCTTTTAGGATTACTAGATAAAGATTTTTCCCTGATAAATCTTCCTGAAAGATTTTGAACTTTATCACTGTAAATGTTGGCCACGGCGAGAATTTGATATGCACAGAAATGGAAAGATATATCAATCCTTGCCACTAAAAAATGGATGGAAAAGGTGAAGCTAGCAAAAATGGCAAAAACTGACATTTCCTATTAGAAAAAAATAACATATCCAGCTTTGTTCCTCCCTGGAAATCACTTCTGGACTTTGTGTTTGAGACAGAATAAATAATGAACTCTTGATTTTGCTGATTAATAGAACCGGCTGATATAGAAAATGGCTAATATTTGTTTTGTAAAAGTAAAAAGTGGAGGTTGTAATTCCATTCTATACTTTACTATGCTGAAAAAAGTTGGAAGTCAAGGGTCTTACACCTTTCTATCCCTTTTCTTCCCTTTTTCCTATCATCCTCATTTGTGTTTTTATATCGTGATAATTGCAATAGAACATCTAAAAAGAAGTTCTGGAGAACAGTATTCCCCAAAAGAAACTTATTTGATTTCCAGCTGGATTCAATTTAACTTCCTCTATTTCTAATAAAAATCTAAGCTTCATCTAAAACCATGAGAATTAAATTTCTTCTGTAATGGTTAAATATTTCACTTTCAAGAAAATTATATACTAAGATCGATCTAGCAGCTTCAATAGGACTGGTGTTGTGGTTCGCCGGCAGCCGATGCAGACGGCAGAGGTATCGGACAGTGAGGACGAAAGGGAACCAGTCAGGGAGTCAGATAAGGACTTGGACGAGGGTCCTGCATCCGATGCAGGGGTGGGGCCAGGACCATCTGAGAGCGGGGTGCTGTCTTCAGAGTCTGGCAGCAGCGAAGCAGGAGACCCAGGGGAGCCTGTTCCCAGTGCGCATGTGCACAAGGCTGTTTGGAGAGCAGCTGCAGCAGAGGAGGCGACTTGGGAATAAGGCTGGAAGGCGATTGCCCCTCCCATAAGGAATAAAAGTCAGCCCTCGGTGACATGCTCTTTGCAGGAAGCAAAGAAGTTCATTGGGTTCTGATTCCTCAGTGAAGCCCTGCGAACTCTGGTTTGTTTATACTGGAACTCCTGTCGGTTTATATTCTAAAGTAATTGGACTTCTGTTTCTTGGCAGCATCCTGCAGCACTGAAAAGCATGCTCTTATCTGGAGGAACTGTGTCTGACGAGTTTTTGGCTGGGAATGCAAGTAATTCCCAGCGTCACATTGAAAAAGGTTTTACTTTCAATTTCAGTTAGTGTTTTATTAAGTTTGACAAAGCCTGGGTTAGAACAACTGGAAATCACAGAATGTTAAGGCCACACTCAATCCACAGTGCATTTACTTAGGCCACAGAGATGGGGAACTATGGCCCCTTTTTGACGTGTGGATTTCAATTCCCCAAATTCCTGAGCCGGCATGGAAGTCCACAAGTCATAAAAGGGCCACAGTCCCCCACCCACAAAAGGATTTGTTTAAAGTCATAGAGAAGAGACTGCAGTTAACACTAAACTGACTGTTTCACACCACAATAATAAGCTGGGAAGTTCTTTAATGCAGAGGTCCCTAAACCCTGGTCCCTAAACCCTGGACCAGCAGCACTGGTCTGAGGCATGCCAGTAATCAGTCTGTGCAAACAAGCAAGCATCCGAGGATGCAGGCAGTACCTCTCTCCATGGATCAAGTCCCTGATACCCAAAAGGTTGGGGGCCTCTGCCTTAATGTCTTATTATTTTGTGTGAGCCAGATTCACAAACCAGGCGTCAGGGTTCTGATGAATGCCCTAATTAATTCATGAGCCTCGAGCCAAGTTTCAAAAGAAATCCAATCATTTAATAGGAGCAACATCTCGGCACTTTTCCCAAGTGCAGTCGGCCCTGCCCTACGTAATTTACTGCCCACCTATGACCCTGTTTCCACCCTCCTCCCGGGTTGTGTCATAAATCACATTCTCCAATGAAGGAAGGTTATGGAAAACACACCTCTCCGGCTGAACTTGGTAACTTGAGACTCAAACTGGAGAAAGGTAGGCGTGGAATGTGCTTCCGATCATAGCAACGAACTGCTCCATCAGATCTCCCCCCACCCTTCTTATGGCAACTCAAGAGCAAGCCAGGAATGCTTTACGAGTTGACACCAGGTTTTGTGGCTTAGCATTGTCTGTAAACTCAAAAGATGTTTCTAATATGCTGGCTGGTTGGGCAACCTGGATGCAGCTTCCTTGCACCCACAGACCAGACCAGCCAAATCTTTCATCAACCATTCCATGTGGTGGGGTTTTGGAACCTCAATTCGCCTCTCCAAAATTGGCAGATCTTTTAGGGACGAAGGTGTTGGTGGAACAGAACCTGAACAGACATCGCTCCTCCCTCGTCTTGACGGTCCATGAAATTAAGAGAGGATCCCTTCTGAGACATTGGCTATGCCCCCATTCCTCCTGCAGGCTAAGCAGTTTCTGATCTATTTCCTAGTCTGCAGCTCTTCCTTCCGTCTCCCAAGGTCATTCGCACAGATCATTAGAATTTACTATTTTTAGTGAAACTCCAGCCTTTTCCTTTGCATTCAGGGCACAATGTTTATCCTTTATGTGCCTTTTCATCCATGTTAAGCTTTGGCCTGGATTCTCATCTGCCCTGAGATTTCCCCCCCAAGTTATAGTCTGTATGCCATTTCAACTTTTTTTGAAAAACCTGGGGTAACCCGGTCCCTTCCCTGCATTTTCTTTGCAACCCGAAGTGCAGAAGACACCATATGGGCTAGGATCTTCATACCTTCGTTGGGCTCCACCAGGAGGACAAAAACGGGGTCGTTGGGCTGGGCACGCTGGACATCTTCAAGAATCTGTTCTGTGTTGGGGGGCTCAGGGCGTGTGGGAAGGACCACCCGCTTCTTGGCCTTTGAGGTCATTGCTTGGAAACAGGTGCCAGAGGGCACTGGAACGACAGAAGAGTTGGAGAGAGAAACAAAAAGGGTTGGGAACTTTGTTCTGATAAAGCTTGGGATACAAATGGACCGATTCTCCAGATAGTCCTCGACTTACAACCACTCCTTCAGTGACTGAAGTTACAATGGCGCTGGAAAAATTGACTTAAAACTGGTACAGGTAAGTTCTTGACGTGCGACTGCAACTGAGCCCAAAATTTACGTTGCTAAGGGAGGCATTTGTGATGTGAGTTTTGCCCCGTTTTATGACTTTTCTTGTCACAGTTGTTAACGTGAATCATTGCAGCTGTTAAGTTAGGAACCCTTTTGTTAAATGCACCTGGTTTCCCCAATTAACTCTGCTCATTAGAAGGTAGCAAAAATTGAACACCTGATCTTGGGACATCGAAATTGTCATAAATATGAGTCAGTTGCCAGCTGTCTGAATTTTGATCACATGGCCATGGGGACGCTGCAATGGGCATAAGTGTGAAAAAATGGTCGTAAGTCACTTTTTTCAATACTGTTGTAACTTTGAATGGTCATTAAATGAATTGTTGTAAGTTGAAGATTACCTGTTCTTCCCAATACAACCACTGCAACATTCCCGTGGTCATGTGATCAAAATTTGGATGCTTGGCGATTGGCATGTATTCATGACAGTTGCAATGATCGCCATTTTCAACCTTCTCAGTTGGTTTCCAACAATGAGGGAAATCAGATTTGCTTAACAACCATGTTATTAATAACTGAAAGTGATTCATTGATCTCAATTGGGGTCATAAGTCGAGGACTACTTGTCCATGTGAAAAGGAACTCCAACCTTAAATTACAAGCAGTTGAAGCTGAAGAAACTGTTTAGTCAGGGGTGGCTGGGTTATACCTCTGTATGAACCTGTATTCTCAACAATTCAGGGGTGTCCAACCTTGGCAACTTTAAGACTTGTGGACTTCAACTCCCAGCTTTGCTGGCTGAGGAATTCTGGGAGTTGAAGTCCACAAGTCTTAAAGTTGCCAAGGTTGGACACCCCTGCTCAACATAGTCCTTTCAGCCATTCCAAAAAGGCATTTCCACCACTCATATGACCCTGAGAACACAGATAAACCTCCAAGTGGCCTCAACATCTCTCTAAAAGAAGGCAAATGACCAGCGGTCTATAAGGAATATAAATCTTTCCATTCCCCACCATCCAATCAGAGCTGAAGAAGCTTTTTGGATGAGAAGCGAAACTTCCTTCAAAGAAAACCAAAGAACAGCCAGTTGTCTCTTTAAAAAACACCCTTGGGACAACCTGAATGACTCTAAAGTCACATTAGAATAAACCTTCCTCTTCAAAAACCCCTAAGGCAGAGATAGCTTGGCGCAGTGGTTAAAACATCAGACCCAAAATAAGGCGATTGTGAGTTCTAATCCTGCCTCAGGCCCCAAGCCAGCTGGGGGATTTTGCGCTGGTCCCTCCCCCTCAGTCTAAGGAGTAGGAGACAAAGGCAACCTATTTCCAAATAGGTTTTCCACATAGCCACCAGAAATTCAGTCTCACTTGAAGGTGTGAGCACGTGCACACGCATCACACACACAAAAGCAGCATTTTGAGCCTGTGGGAAACACATCTGATCCATCCACTGATCAAATCACTCCCCCATCGACCCAAATCACCATCACTGGAAAGAATAAATATCCTAAGTGAGTCAGACCAGCTCAAAGCATTTTGTACAGGTGTGGGCTGAGGAAGGGGTACCTGCAATTTAAGAACCGAAACTGAGTGGAGGGGATTGCTGTTTCTAAGATGGTACTTGCCATCTGTTGTTTTTTTTAAAAAATAAGTTATATGTCACATTGAAGAAGGATTGGCTGCTGAAATTTGCCTTTACAATGTGCCTATTTTGCAGCGGAACGTAGACATCTGAATCAAAAAAATATATGAATTCAGCTACTAAATCTGGGTATGTTTTACTGTATTCTGCATATGAATAAGCTTCATCTTTTTCTCCCAGGGGAGTAAAAAACCCTGCAGGTAATTCCTTGTGGTTTTCTGTAACTAGAAAGCAACCTAACTATGCGTGTTTAAATAGTAAAATGAACAGACTAAAACAGTTTCAATTTAAACAGAAAGGCAACCTGATTTTTTTTCTCCTTATGTAACTTTTTTTTAAAAAAATAGATGGCAGCTGCCATTTTAGAAACACCTGCACCCCTCCCCCCCTCCCGCTTTTCTGCATTAACACAGAACAGAATGTTGCTTTTAAAATAACGATTATTTTAATCCACCAAAAGTTTTTAAAAAATGCTTCCAGAAGGGACTGTTATTGCTGCAACTCTGCTCTGCTTCCAAACATGATTTTTACACCAGGAGGCATAACACTATCTTCTATGAAACCCATGTCTTAAACATTGCTTCTACCACTGTTTTTTTCCCTTTTAAATTAGAAAAAAAGAAATGGAATAACATACACAACCTTTTGACTGACACAGTGAGCAGCTTATTCATTTGAAAGCATTCAAAAATGGTTCTCCCCTTCCAAAAAAACCCCATAGTTTTATCAAATGCAAACTCTGCCCGATTTAATTAATTGTAGGTAAGGCAAGAAACATAATAAAGAATTTAAAAAAAGGTGATTGCTTCGTTGTCAGCTAGCTTCAGGGCACACACAAATCTATTTCCCCCCCCCCCCCAGAATCACACTTTTGAAATACAGTGGCCAAGCACTGAAAATCAAAAGCATTGCGATGCATTTTTAAAAAGAAATTAAAACAAATGAAGATGCATTATGCCTCCAATCAGCTAAAAACACTTTTTATGTAATAGTTGCTTTTTATCCTCAAAAAGGGCTCCACAAAAATCCTGATGTGCCCAAGCAGAAAAAGCTATTGCATCAACATCACACCCCTCGCAGTCTCTGAAGCCAAAAAGCCTGTAAAAATAAACAGTTCCTGTTTATGTTTTAAAATCACCCTTCTCATAATGCCTGCTGCAAGTTTAAAGGATATTGCCCCACAGAAGCAGTTAATTAAAACCTGATAGCTTTTTCAAAAAACATAGAAGAGTGTTGTTCAAAGAAAAGTCCTATGATTTCTATGGGGATTTTAGGTATCCAGTCATCTGTGCACTCGCTCCTTAAAAAAAGCCTATAAAATACACTCCCAGGGCTTTTCAACCAAAAGTCCCAGGGCATACACACCACAAATTATCTTGGTTAATCCAAGTTCACCTCCACCTACCAAGAATGGTTTGCTTCCATCTCAGTTTTGTCTCCATTCAGCACCTCCCTCTACTTCCACAAGGCTAGAAACCACAATCAAAACATCCCTTGTTTGTCAACGCAGGAATGGGAACCAGGAGGAGTTAAATTTAATTATCTTGGTCCCTCAGCTTATCCGCTCTCTCTCTCACACCATCCGAACGTTACTGTGAAACTGCAGTCCCATCTGCAGGTGCGAAGATGTCATTGTGTAAGGTGGGGGGGAAAAGTGAGATGCATTTAGAGGATGAGAGGTTTTTTGGAAGGGGTGGGGGAGCAGAAGGCTCTGATGCTTGAAATTCTGTTTTTTTTTCCTCCCTTAGTTTAAAAAAGCCCTTATTCCTGCGCTGAGCAGGAAGGACAGCCCATGCATCCCAACCACGTTCCAGAATGTTCACTACTGGCTCTGCAGTCCCTTTCGCCAAGGATGGCTATGCAAGATGCATGCAGGGAAAAAAAGAAAAAAAGAGGAGGATGGGGGGGGGAGGTTGATACAGAATACACCCGTTCTGCAGATACCACACCCACTCTATTGCAAGCAGATAATACACACACCCTCAGAGCCTTGATTCTACCCTCCAGCAGTCATGCCACAGACCTCTTTCCCTGATCCATCATCTTCCTGGACCCTTCCGTTTCCTTCCCCTGGCACATTACGGGCCCCCTCCCTCTGTCATAACAGCCCGCTTCGAACCCTTTCCTCCATTTCTACCGGCAGCAGAGTTTGCATCAAAACCTTCTTTTTCTCCTCAATGCCTTGCAGTGTCTGCATTGGAGGAGGAAGGGGTGCACATTTCCTCCCCACCTGGCTGAATTTCCTCTTTTTTTCTTTCTCATCCTCTCTTCTTTTCCTCTACTTCCCACGCACCCCCATGCTAAACTATCTAGGACACGAACACACCCCCACCCGGTTCAAAGCCCCCTCCCTCCTGGAAGGCTCCTTGCACCTGTCCAGCCCCCACCCCAAGTGGCTCTTATCCAGGGTCACCTTCTCCTTCAGACCTGCTCTCTTCTGCTCCTCTGGAAGGATCCTGAACCCCTCCCCATAACCAGATCCTCCCACTCCCCTTCCACCAACAGACTCCAGTTCTTCCTGCTCAGTAAGCAACAACCCACCCACCATATTTTCACCACCCACCTCCCAAGCCAGCTCTACTCCTGGCTGGCTCCCCCTGGGAGACCCTCGCTCTCTTCCCCACCATTAGTTCCTCCCAAGCTCCAGCTCCCCCAATGCCAAGCCTACCCACGCCCTACCCCAACCCCGTATTCAGCCCCTCTTTAGCAACAGACCACGATCTCTTTCCCCGCGTCACCCCTTTCACACGAGACGGTCCATTTCCTCCAAGTCCCCCCCTTCCCAATTCTCCAAGAGGACGCCCGCCCCAAGAGGACCCACAAGCTCTTTCCCCCGCTCCAGATCAGGCTCCCCTAAACATCCTCTAAATTTACAGACACCCCCCCACTAACCTTTACCCCCTCCCCAAATAAACCCCCCCTTTCTCTTCTCACCTGCTCTCTCTCCTCCTCTCCACCACCTGATTCCCCCCTCCTTCCCTTTCCCAAGCCACGCCCCACATCAGGCCACGCCTACTCATTCTCCCCCTTTTCCGCTTTCGGATCGCCCGCTTCCGGTCTCCGTGGGAACGTGGCACATGTGCGATTGCGGGGGGGGGGGG